ATGTGCATATGTATATCTAAATTACTATTTTCCCATTCACGTTAAGGCAGTGCTGAGAAGTCATACAGATACTGAACTTCTGCTAAGCAATATTTTCAATACTGAATGAAAATAACTTGTTTGTGCAAAGCCACCCGTTTCCCTAATTACAGCCCCTCCTACTGTAGGAGGAAATTGATAATTGAGTACAGCAGGAAATAAAGAGACAAGAGTTTTATTGTCTATTCTATTCTTACTAGTATTATTAACTCATTCCTATCCTTGGGAAAAAAAAAAAAAAAAGAGAAAGAAAAAATAAAAGGGAAAAGAAAAGCAGTCTCTGATGTTATTATGGCTTGGTTTCCCCAAGTGCGAAATTATACCAGGCAGAAACTATGAGGCTTAAATATTAAATACTTATATAAATGATTCTTATAAGATCCCAGGTTATCAACAGAGACAAAAGACAGAATTCCCACAAAAATGCTTTCACTTCATATGAGGCATTTAAACCAGACAGGATTGTAAAGGAGATGCTTGCCTATTTTAACCACCTTTGGGTTTCATAACAATGCAGAAAACCTTAGATAAAGTAAATGAACTAAGAGACTCGTGAAGGTGTGTCAGGTGTCCAGGAGATGAGAACCTCTCCATAACTTTGCCAAAGCTGTCGGAAGGACCTCGACTGATGTGTTTTGAGGCCACACGTGTTGGCACTCGGCAGTGTGAGAATTTCAGGTTCCCAGGGAAGGTGCAAATGCTGCTCTATTATCAATAACCTGTGTGCAGCTCAGACTGCCAGCAGATTTCACAAGTGAGCTGTGGAACACGTCAGGACACTGGGCAGGCTGAGCCGAGCGAGTGTTTCAGACTATCAGGTGCCCTGAGTAGTGAATGTGCTAATGTCAAACTAACCTTGAAAATGTGTGTGTTTAAACATGTTAACCAGAGCAAGGTCTGCAGAAATGCCACAAAATATCAAAGGAGAATCTGACTATGTAAATGTAGTCTGAGAGTTTCTTTCCTTATGGAAACAGTGTTGTTTTCTTGGTTTTTTTTTCTTTCACAACCCTCAAGGTCTTCTACCGAGCAAAGAGATGGTGGCTCATTGCATTGATTTACCACTCACTGAGGGATACTGCCAGTTTGACTTTTCCCATTCACTCCTGGGCTGACTTCTTTATTGAGTTAACAAATGCATAAAACTAGGATAATACATCCATGAATCACTCCCATAACCAGAGTCCAGTACAGGCAAGGCTCATGCTGATCCCCCACAGCACTACAGACATCTGCTGTACAGAATCTAGGAAGCCCCCTTTCTATTTTTTTTATTTCATGTGCTGATTGTAGACATTGGATCTTGACAATCTTGAAGTTTGTTCCTCCCTTTCTCCATGTGCAATATAGTACAGGATGGGGTCATATCTTTTTATCAGGCTTCTGGGACCCTCAAGTTGTGGTGGTCTGTCACACAGGATTTAAATCACACAGGATTTAAAGCCCATCAAAATCCAGCAACACAGCAGTGCCAGTGTGAGGATTCCATGTAGAGTTCAGGGAGGCTATTTTGCACATGGGAGACATAAAACAGTTTGGGTTGGAAAGGACCTTAAAGACCATTTAATTTCAGCTTCCCCTTGCAATGGACAGCAGCATTTTCCACTACATCGGGTTACCCAGCTCCCCAACACACGTGGCCTTGAACACTTCCAGAATGGAGATGAAACCTCATCTCTGTGCACAAAGCACTGCTCCAGACCAGGGCTGATGGTGTCTGTTAGTGGTGAACTGCAGCTCTGAACAGCTCTGCAAGTAAAAATCTCATTACAGGATGGCAGGGCTTTTGTTTTGCCTAGAGACACACTGCAAGGGCACTAATTTTAAAACCCACTTAGGGAGATGGTGAATTAATTACAAATTACATGGTAATGAAAATTAAAAATAAAAAAATAAGGCATGTTTTATAATTTCTAAGCAAAAAGTAACCCCTTTGCAATCTCATTCTTCTGTGCCAACTCTGTAAATATGAGTTTCATATATATAAAAAGAAAGTTGATGATTAACCCCGAGATTAATTACTATTTCAGGGGTGATATCTCCAGGCAAGGAAAGATCAGATTTCCACGGTGCTCTGCTGTGCTGAACGTCATGTAAGAGACTATCTCTATTTTGGGCAGCTGAAGCACAGAAACTTCTCCCAAGGGGAAATAGGAAAATGAACAGCAGGAAGCCACAAAACAGGCCAGTGCCAGGGATACAGCCTCAGGGCCAGGGCTTTTCTCCTGGAGACACATGTGGCTCTTTCTGAGTGCACAGAACAGGAGGTAAAACTGATGTGTCACGTCCCCAAACCAAGCCGAGAAACAGGGGATGCTCCGGAGAGGAGAGGAGAGGAGAGGAGAGGAGAG